TGCAAACAGGTCTGAGAGCGAATCGCTCTCTCCCTCCGTCTCTACCCCCCCTTCTCCTCCTCCTCCTCCTCCTTCTCTCTGCCTCCCTCCTTCCTCCTCTCTCTTTCGCGACAATTTCTGCCTTTCGGCGCCGCATCGCTCCTGCAGATGTAAAAACCGCGGTCATAACCTCTCGCCGCGCAGCGCCCTCGCGTTAAAATGGTCTTTACCTGGTCGACGAGTTTTAACACAGCCATAACGGAATCAGCCTGAACGCCACATCCACTCGCGGGACCGCGATGCACCAAATCCACAGATAAAACGATGACAAACCCGCTGGTCCGATGATGATGTTTTCCTCTCCTCCCTCTTTTTTTTTTATCTTCTTGGGGTTTTTTTTTTTATTTTCCCAACAGCGGAATTATTGTCTTGCCCACCCCGCTCTGCGCGTACAGTATCCCGTGCGCTGCCGATGCGCCTCTGTCCCCGGAGAGCCGTCGCTGCAGGGCCCGGGCTCCGTCCCCCGCGCTAGCCGGCGGTGCACACGCAGTCGGCGGAGAGCTGCGCTCGCTGTAGCCGCTGCCACGCCGCGGGAGGAAGAGAGACAACAGTCCGCATTCAACACCAGGCGTCCAGCCGATCTCTTCCTCTGTCATGCAATCACACACACACACACTCGATCCCTCCCTCTCGGTCTGTCGGTCGCGCTGTGAGCTCGGAGCAGGAGCCCGTGTGTGTGTGCACAGGCTTGCAGGCTGGCCCTCGGTACAGGAAGTCCTTGCCTCCCTCAATCACTCCGCCACTCGTCGGCACAGAGTCGGCCCTGGCATCACGCCTACCTGACTGACAGCCCGCCTGACAGGCTCGCAAGCGCCGCCGCTTTGGCTCCCTCCGGTGGCCAGAGCGGGGAACAGCAGCCTCCTGCATCCCCACTGTAAATAACGTCGCACCAAGCTGGCCTGATTTTGATTCTCCCTTGTAAAATAACATAACATCACATCACTTTATCAGCCCTATACAATTTCCTGCATTAGGAATTCGTCTCTTCA